AACTGCTGAGTTGGCTCAGTCAGTGACACAGGCAACACAGGTGTTAGTGCTCACCAGCCCTGGGCCATGTTTCTACCCTTTATTAACCCTTCCAGCTTGGGAAGCAGCACAGGCACAATGGGAGGGGATTTACATGGTATCACCCTTCATGTGATGACTCAGTCTCTTACAGATTCCTTCCCTCCTCCTCCTCCTCCTTTACCTGTCAGTTTATCCCATAAACACTCATGAAATCCCAGCACTCTGGGAGGCTGAAGCAGGAGAATTAGAAGTTTGAGTCCAGCCTGGGCAAATTAGCAACTTAGTGAGACCCTGTTTCAAAATAAAACATACAAAAGGGCCTAGGGAATTAGCTCAGTGCAAAGGCCCTGGCTTCAATCCCTAGCACAAAAAACCAAACCAAATCAAACCAAACCACCACTTATGGTGCCTAGTATATGCAGGCAGAGACTGCACTTGTTATATAGAATAAGACATGGGCTCTGTTCACAGGAAGCTTAGTTTGGTGGGAGGGATACATTTTAAGGAGGAATGAGGGTCTGCAGACTGTGGAGTCAGCCTCAAATATGTTATTTCTAACTTGAGTTTGCTTGCTTACGTTTCTTGTGATGCTTACATATAGTGGTCTGCTGGTAACAATCAGCTTAAAAAGAAAAGCTTGGAGCTATAGCTTTTGTCAGTTTCCATGGCATAAATACTATTACCGTGGCCAGTTTCAAGCTGCCCAGATGAGGCTGTTGGGGACAGAGTGGGAGGAGATAAAGAGGCTCCAGCAGTAGTGCCCCACTTGCAGGATTCCCCCATACAGGTGCAATAAGCATAAGCAATTTCAAGACCATAATATTAGTAAGATAATTTGGCAAAGGTGATTTTTAGGTATTGATTACCTTTATTTTAATGTAATTTATTTAGTTTTAAGTGCAGTGGACCCTCAAGTTATGACAGGCCTGACGTGGGAACAACTTGAGTTAATTAGGTTAATGGAAGATTCATTTGCCTCTTGTTCTCTATAGCATGTAGCCACATAAATATCTAGATTTCAGCTGTATTGACTTACAATCAACTTGAGTTAAAACCAGCCCTTGGGAACCGATGGAGTTTGTAAGTCAAGGGTCCACTGTATATGTAATTTAATTTTTACTGATGATTATGTTAGTAATTGACTTTCAAAATAGCTTGAAGTTTAATGGTCAGCTCTTGAGGACTGGTTATTTTCTGCATGCGTGCTGTTGCACTTGGTGAAGTATATCAGTTTTTACAGCCAAGTGTGTCCTCCCCATTTTTTTTGTCCTCCCCATTTTATACACCATGACTCCTATGTCTTTGTGTCCTCAGAGCCCTGCTTTCACAGAGCCTTGAGCATCATTAATTCATGGTGTTAGACTAATGTTTCATCTGTATTTGTGTACAAAGATCCTTTATTTTGAATGTTATTTAAGCACTAGGTTGAATTTCTGTTTTTGTACAGGATAGAAAAGATGAACACACACATTATCAGATGGTCTCTTCGTGAAGCCTTTGTACAAATAATGCATGTTACAGATGCTTATGGTCTTGAATCATTAGCATAACATATGCTCCCACTCAAAAATGGCAAATGTGCCTCTGCTCTGAAATAGCTCCTGTCTTAGCTTCCACATCCTTATTCTCAGGGTCTGGCTGTGGTGGATGTGCAAGGACCTTCATGCCAAAGGATGTGTTTAGATGCCAATTGCTTTTTGCCTGACCCAGGCCAGACTGTTCAAAGCTGGTGGCATTCTTTCTGTCATTGTCATGGTCACCATTGCCCTGTCCTCCTCATCATTACCAACAGGCACTGTTTATCAGAGGCCATCATGTGCATCTCACTGTGACAGACACCATGCAAATCTACTGGCACCAATGATCCTTCAAAGATCAGAGCTCAGATGCAGAGTAGACACCATCAGGGAAAAGAAGCCCGGAAGTTTTAGTGCAGGGGGTCAGGTGGAGTGATGGGGGCAGGACTCAAGGAGGATGATGCTACAGTGGGCAAGGAACAAGGGTGCACTGGCGGTGAGGGGGCAGAGGCAGAGAGGAAGTAAGTGGGAAGCCTTAGACACACTTCTCATTCAGGGAATGTGAATGGGGTGAGGTGAGATGGGAATGGCCAGGGAGAAGGAAGAGAGAGACAGGGAGAGAGAGAGAGAGAGAGAGA